GTCGCGGCGCCGCCAAAGCCGGAGAGGCAGCCAGGGCCCCACTGGGAGGGCGCAGGGAGAAATCTAGGTGCCCTACACACCTCTCCCTGCCAACTGGGAGCATTTTCTGCTCCTGCCCCCCAACCACAGAGCCAGCTGGAGATGTTCAGGCGGGGAGGAAGGAGCCAGCGTTTACCGCCCAGGGGAATTAGGCACCTGGGACGTGTTGGCAGATGCTCCTTCGTGGGGGTCGTCCCGCTCCCAAGCCAGCTCTGGTTTGGCTGGGAAGTGACCGAGCGCTGCCCCGGGACCGTCAGTGGAGCGAGGCCGATTCACCAGGTTTCTGCAGCTGCCCCCCGCACCCCAATGCTGAGTGCCAACGCGGACGTCTCTGTGTATCTCATTTTCTCTCTCGTAGATGGAAGTAGTTAGCACCTTCAAGAGAAGCGGCTCCTTTCAGGGGGCCGTGCGGCGCCGCTCCTCCGTGCTCAGCCAGCTTCACGAAGTAACCAATCTTTCTACCCCTACTCACGTAATTCTAGTCTGCAGCTGCCCCCCGCACCCCAATGCTGAGTGCCAACGCGGACGTCTCTGTGTATCTCATTTTCTCTCTCGTAGATGGAAGTAGTTAGCACCTTCAAGAGAAGCGGCTCCTTTCAGGGGGCCGTGCGGCGCCGCTCCTCCGTGCTCAGCCAGCTTCACGAAGTAACCAATCTTTCTACCCCTACTCACGTAATTCTAGCCGCTGGCAATCCCACCGCTGCCACCATCGGGAGTGAGTCACGGTTTTGCTCTTACTGCTTGGGTGCTTTTGAACAGCCACAAAAAAGAGACAGATTTAATGTCTCCCTCCCTGCCCCAGCCCCCCAAGCTCAGTGTGGGTCTCCTGTTTCTTTCCGTTCTCTCTCTGCTCTCTCTGTCCAATCTCAGGTGAGCCGAATTTCCATTTCCTAAAGCCATACGGTCACTTTCTCTCTTTCACTGGTTGATTCAACCCTCCCCCTTCTAATCCCTTTGTTGGCTTCCTCTTCTGTCTTTCTGGGGCGGCTTCCTAGGCGAAATGGAGCAGGTGACACCAGTCCAGCAAGGGGGCTGGCCCCATTGGCAGCCAGGAGTTGGGTGTGTTTCAGTGAGCCCGCCCATTTGGAAGCGGGGTTCAGATCCTGCTATAGTGGGAGGTCAGAGACCTCCATGCTGCCCTGGCCCCGTGCGGATCCCTGTGCAGCCCACATTCCACCTGTCCACACATTCCCCACTGAACAGAGGAATCGATTCTGCTCCGGTGTGACTCTGGAGTGACTCCCTTTGTGTGAGCCAAGCGTATCGAAGGGCTGGAGAAACCAGCTCTGGAATGCCTGGTCCCCAGGGGTGTACGCCGACCTATGGGGGTGTGGAGAGAGAGACGGCCTTGGGGGTGCTTCCTATTCTTTTCCTGCGAGGCCGGGGCAGGCGGGATGCTGGGTTAGATGGGCCTGCCTGGGCCACTCAGCCTCCCTCCACTCTCCTGTCTCCTCCTGTGAGCAGTGCCTGGTGACACACCCAGGCTGGCGAGGTAGGCGGTGGTCCGGGGGCTGTGGGGTTGGCTCCAGCCGGGGAGGGCTGGCTGCTTGGGGCCTTCTCCTGGCGGGTGCCCGGCGTCCCTTCCCTGCCGGGCAAGCCGCCCGCTTCCTACTGGGGCCCCCGTTGGTCCTGCTGCTTTCTCTCTCCCCACAGCTCTGTCTCCCGCTGGCCTGGGCTCTCCTCCTGCCTCGCGCCCCCCTCACCAAGACGCTTTCTTTTAGGAGCCGAGCAGCGCCGGCCCGGAGCGACGGGGACCCGGCCCAGAGCCCGGCCCCTGCGGGACGGGGAGCAGGGTGGGAATGGGGAAAGAGCCGCACCCCCCGTTGGTCCTGCTGCTTTCTCTCTCCCCACAGCTCTGTCTCCCGCTGGCCTGGGCTCTCCTCCTGCCTCGCGCCCCCCTCACCAAGACGCTTTCTTTTAGGAGCCGAGCAGCGCCGGCCCGGAGCGACGGGGACCCGGCCCAGAGCCCGGCCCCTGCGGGACGGGGAGCAGGGTGGGAATGGGGAAAGAGCCGCACCCACCCGTCTGGCCCAGAGCCACAGTGGGCCAGGGCTCTCCCGGGCGCATGTGCAGCACCGAGCGCAACGGGGTCCCTGCACCCGCTCGTGTGACCAGGATCGGGGTCTGAGCCCAGCTCCACGTCCCCAGGCGGCCCCCAGGCGCGTGACTTGGGGCGGGGCCGAGAGGGGGCAAAGTGCAGATGGGAACGGGGTGTCCCCTGGCCCCGCTTGGCACGGAGCCTCCCCTTCCCCCGGGTGCCCCCCAAGCCCCGCCACTGCCAGCCAC